CCATGGCATCAAGATGACTGACAGGTGAATGTTGACAGGTGTTGTTGGAGGCATCATCATCATCACAGGCATGAATGTTAGGGTAAGGAACTGTTGAATTAATTTAGGATCGTCTCTGATCCTCCGGCTCAACTTAGTTACTGAAAGATTTAAGTCAAGTCAGCTTTGTTTGTACAGCATGTTTAAAAGTTTTGGCCAGAACAGAGTGACGATAAAAGAAGAACTACAGGAACACCTGTACAAGCATCAGCTGGATAGTCATCTGGTAGATCTTCGGAGGATCCAGGTTTCAAGCCTCGCCATGATCCTGTCATTCAGGTCCTCTCACAGCTATCCTTCTTCCATCCCACTTGGGGCTTGGTACCCAATTTCAGCTTGTTGTCCTGGCTCAACCTTACCGTAGCATGTGTGTTGTACCCTAACATGTGAATGTTGGAACACTGAGCTTCTAGTTGTTTCAATTCAATAAGATTCAAGGAAACCATCTCCGCTGGGGTTAACGCCTTCATCTTTATCTGTGGGGTGGCTGTAGCTCAGGAGGTAGAGCAGGTCGTCTACTGATCGGAAGGTTGGTGGTTTGATCCTTGGCTCCTCCAGTCTGCATGCCAAGTATCCTTGGGCAAGATACTAACCCCAAGTTGCTCTCCGATGCATCCATCAGAGCGTGAATGTGTGAATGTTGTTAGAAAAGAGGCTTGTTGAAGCATGGGGTCGATGTGGAACTTGCTAAGGAGCATTAAACCAAATATCAGTGGAGGTTTACGTACATATTTGAGCCTGTGTGGATCTGAGAAAATCCCACATAAATTCAGACTTGTTTTTAAAGACATTTGAAGGAACAGCAGTTCATTACTCATTCATGATGAGTGGCTCACAAAGAGTACTTAGAGTTCAGCATCACTAATCACACTGAAATCATCGCTTTGACCTGTGACAGGAAGAGGAAGCGAGCTGAGGAGGCAGGACCAGAGGATGTCCACACATCTGAACAGGTAAACAGAGCTGCTCACCTTCAGCGCTCAGACCCATGACCTTCAGACTGTGAGAAGAGCAGAATGCCTCCTCGTCATGTACTTGACCTTTAACCTTTGCTCTTCTCTGCAGCTAAACTGTATGAAACTCCAAACACCTTCAACCATAAACACCTGTAGCCCCACCCTCTTCACCACCAGGTGGGCTAATTTCCTCAGCCCTGACTCAAAGGTGCAGGAGGGGGAGAAGCCTGCAGTTGGTGAGTGGAGTCAGTCTTTAAGTGGTGTCGCTGCTCCCTCCTGCTCTGGAATAATCAGCAGGCCCCGCCCTCTTCTTCCTGTTACCTCCATGTTCGACAGCGGCGAGAACTTTAACTTTGACGACGACTTCCTTGTTAAACGTCTCCCGGAGTGATTGTGCATTTGTTTGTTTCTAAAAAGGAGACTCTGACAGACTGTGCTTTTCTTCATGCTTTTATTGCTCACACAGAAACGTTTACATGATGATCAATAAAGAGAACAGAAACACTGATTAATGGACAGTATTGATTAACATTCAGACAACAGAGCAGAAATAATCAGATGGATGTTGTGACATCGTGATGATATCATCAGTGCTAGTGTGGGCGGGGCTGCTTGGCATACTGGATGGCGTCCAGCGCAGCGCCGATGTCAAAGTTCTTGGCCTGAAGGAGGCGGGTGAGCCAGCCGCCTTCGTCAGTGAAGCCCATCGAGAGCATCGAGGCAAGCGACTCAACCAGGCGGGGGTCAGCCTCTGAGGGCAAAAGGTCAGAGGTCAGCAGGGTTTAGAGGTCAGTACTAACAGAACTAAAGTCACAGAGTGTGGACGCCAGCTTACCTTGAGGCAGGTGTGGGTACAGTGCCGCCTCCCTCAGCCCGCTGGGGCCCGCCTGCCCCTCAGACAGGGGCCCCTGCTCCTGGTTGTCGGGCCGCAGGGACTGCAGTTCACCTGTGGAGGGGTCGACCTCTTTGGAGCTCAGGTGGGTCCACTCCTCATCAGAGTCCTTGCTCACCTGAGGGTCACCACGCTAAAAGGTCACAGGAGATGTTAAAAGGGAGTTCTTCCTCCCTGCTGTCCCATCAGGATCAGCTGATTGTCCTTTCTTCTGATATTTACATCATGAAGCACTTTGAGGTTTTATAAAAATAAAAGTTACCTTTGCTCCTAGACTGGCCCCGCCCTCACTGCTCGTATGCTCCATCTCCTCATCGCCCTCACCCCCCCCACTCTGAGTAGGTGGGGTCACCTTGGTCCGTTGGCCCTCATGCTCCACGTCGATGTCCACATCGATACCTGTGTAAAACACACACACAACTTCCTGTTTTAGAGCCAGCTAGAGATGTTCACTCATCTCACATGCACAAACACAGTGACGTCATAGTCTTTACCTTACAGCATCAAACAACTGCTTAAATAAGACTGACACTCACCTAGTGGGCTCAACATGGCTGCCACGCCCTCGCCAATGTTCTTCAGGAAGTCCACGTTGGTCTGAGAGCCTGCAGGGAGAAATGAAAGATATTTTAAAATCACACAGATGTCACACAACATTATTTTAGTGCTGTGACAGGATGTTTAAAGGGCCACACAAACGCGGCTCTGATGTCATGACCATTCAGTCCGCACACGGTCTTTTTATTTTGAAATGTTGCTGCATTTTCCCTCTTGTACATCGCTTCCTGACCTTATCTGCTCTGATCTGACTTATTGATCAAGTATCACTTTAACCAAGATGGCAGAACTCACCAGAGGGGGTGTTGGCATCAGCAGCAGGTTTGGAAGGGCTAGACTCGTTCTGGTCCGGGTCGTTGTCCTGGTTCTGAGCCTGGTTCTGGTTCAGGTTCCACACGCAGTGTCTCATCCTCTTCATCCACTTCCCCCGAGGAAACCACTGAAAAACACAGCCTCACAGTCATGTTTTGAAGGGCCTGAACAGGACACCTGCAGACCTGCACCTGCTTAGACTCACCTGCAGTGGGTGCCAAATGGGCAGAAGAGCGTGCTCAGTGTGCTTCCCCTTAGCCTGGCAGGAGGAGCAGAGGTCGTAGTTCGGACACACTGAACACTTGAAGCGGGTCCCGATCACAGGGCCATCACAGCCATCACAGGTAACATTGGGGTGCATGGTGTAGGGTGGGGCCACGTGAGGAGGAGGTGGACCCATGTGTGGCCCATGGGGCGGGGCATGAGGACCTCCAGCATGGGGAGGTGGAGGACCTCCAGCAGGGGGAGGGGGAGGCCCAAAGGCAAAGGGAGGGAAGGCATGGAGAGGGAAGTCCCGTCTGTGCTCCTTCTTCTCTGTAAGAATGAAGCTTTATTAGCACAGCTGGACGACGGATACAGCGAGCAATAACATTTATACAAACCGCAAACATACCTCGGATGAAGAGGCGGAAGGTGGAGTCCTTCATGCACCCCAGACCCATCATGAGCTCATCATCAGAGGAGAAGGCCACCAGGTCCCCATCTTCATCTGCAACACCATCATCATCAATAGTCACACACTGGTGAACTACAAAGGCTGCAGGTGACTTTCTAATTACAGACTAACTTTGACGGTGTTTGTCCGTTTACATGACTATAAATAAAGATTAATTCGACAGCTGATTACGGTTTCATGTGTTTACAGGGAAACGGGTGAGTCTGGTCAGGTGAGTGTGCGCCTGCGCACTTACTCAGTTACGTCCCCACTCTCACAGTCACAACTTAAAACAATCAATAAGAATCCAGGAAGCGATCAGAGTGTAATTCCCTAATCTGAACCCCCGCGCGCTCACCTCGGTAAAACAGGTTGAAGTTGTTCAGGTTTCCAAACACGTCCGCAGTTTTCCTGCTCAGGTACTCGAAGCTGCAGGACACGTCCTGATCCACCGCGAACCTGCGGATCTCCTTCACCGCCTCGTCCTTCCCCAGCAGGTAGGCCTTAACAGTCACCGACATCCTGCCGCTGACACCGGGTACACCTGTGTCTCTGTACGCTGATCGTCAACCGGAGGCTGTGTGTATGTCTGCGTGTTGTTCGCTGATAGTCAACCGGAGGCCGGGTTTATGTCTATGTCCGCTGAGAGGTGTCCAGGTCCGGGAGTTGGTGAGTTTGTGACGCACTTTGAAATCTCTCGCTCTGCTTTATGTTTACTTCCGCGACAAACGTGGGAAACGACGTCTGTGACCTCAGGGAAGTAAACACAGATTTGGCCTTCTATTGGCTTTTTCTCAGAGTCCCGCCCACAGGACCAATGGCAATCGAGGAATGACTCAGCGGCTTTCCAATGAGGTACTTTCCCTGACTCATGTGACTTGTTTAGAGTTCATAATAAAATATCGCAAAGTCATCGTTACAAGACGGTTTCAACACCTGATCACAGAGCAGGCTTTCGATATGAAACTAATTATCAATAAGCAGGCGGACTGATCAGAGCTCACAGCTGACGGGGTTTGGATTAATAAATCAATCATTCTGGCTCTGCTGCTTACTCTCCAATCAAAACCAAATATATGCTCATGGTCACGTGACTGAGGCGTTTTAAACCTGATCCTGAAATCTGGACAAAACCTTTCAACTGATAACTCAACCTTTATCTCTAAAAACACCAAGTAAACACTCAGGGACATTTTAAATAAAGTTTAAAACTTCAGAACGAGTGTCCAAGTTCTCAAGTCTGACTGATTTATTGATCTTTGACACATTTCATGTTTATTAAACTTAACTGTTTTTCTGTCAGCCTAGGCCAATCAGCAGCAACTCTTCAGTCAGCTGACTCTGAGTCACTGCAAACAGCAGACGGTGACGCAGAGTCACAAGTTAGTCTTGTGACTCTGCGATCCACTACCCATAATTCATCAGTGCAAGCACCCCGCCCCCCAACACACACACCACACACACAGAGTCAGACTAAAACAGTGCAGTGTGTGTGAGTACGAGTACTTCCTGTACTCTGATTACAGAATGAAATTGTACAGTATTATTCTCCACATTACTGCCGTAACTTTGTAGATCCATCAGCTGATCAATGAGTGAAACAAATCAAAATTTATTTCAGCTTTAACAAACAAGTCAATACACATGAATCATTAATCCATAATGTTTACCAGCTATGACTGAACACTTTAATGTCCAAAGAGGCGCACACACAAAAAAGAAAAAAAAAATACAATTCAGCAGCAAATAACACCAACATCATGGCCTGTGGTCCAATGGCAGCAGGACTCAGCTGTGGTCTCAGAGTGATGTCAGATGTACAGGGGGTGGTACTGGCGGTGAGTAAGTCTCTTCCTGCAGGTGGGACAGGTGTGTGATGATGTCAGAGAGTCTCTCAAACACTGACTGCAGAACACGTGACCACAACGGGTGGACACGACCAATCGGCTGCTCCCAACGATCTGCGAAAAAAAGAAAAAAAGAAGCAAACAAAGAAATTAAAAAACAACACCACAAAACAAAAACAGCCAATCAGAGCAATGCACTCAAACGTCACTGTAATACTTTCAAAGTAAAACACAAAACCAGACTGAAACTTTCAAAATAAGAGTCAGCATATGTATGTTTATTGATTAGGTTCATTGATCAGTGGCCATGTGAATGTAATAAAGCCTGTATTTCATTACCCACAATGCCTCAGGAAGCACACATCTCATCAAGCATTGTGTTGGACTTGGTGTTCGCTCGCTCGCTCTGTGGTATAGTATCGCTTCCTGTTCCTGCTCAAACACAGTGGTGTTTCTGAGTAGCTTATTTGCTTAGCAGTTTAATTAACAACTTTTAAATACATTCTTTTTTCACAGTATAATCTTCACGCGCTTCATCCGAAGCACACTTTCTGTGTACTCACTACCTAATTTATAGTATTCACTCACTGTCTCTGTACTGTTTCGCTAGCTTAGCTCGTAGCCGACCCGTTAGCACCATGGCTACTTCACCTGTCCCTTCTGCACTTTCTTGCTCATTGTGTCAGATGTTTAGTTACTCCTCGGCCTCCTTTAGCAGTAATGATATCTGTAACAAATGTAGCATATTTGCAGCTCTGGAGGCCAGGATTACTGAG